TTAGGCCAGTCAGAATGGTGATTATTAAAGTCAAGAAACGACAGACACTGGAGAGGTTGCAGAGAAATAGGAACGCTTTTACACTGTTGGTGGGACTGTAAATTAGTTAAACCATTGTGGAAGACAGTGTGGCAATTCCTCTAAGACCTAGAACCAGAAATACCATTTGCCCCAGCAATCTCATTACTGGGTATATGCCCAAAGGGATGTAAATCATTCTATTATACAGATACACACATGTGTATCTTCATTGCAGCACTATTCACAATAGGAAAGACATGGGAATCAACCCAAATGCCCATCAATGATAGACTGGATAAAGAAAATGTGATACATGTACACCATGGAATACTATGCAGCCAGCCATAAAAAGCAACAGGATCATGTTCTTTGTAGGCACATAGATGGAGCTGGGAGCCATTATCCTCAGCAAACTAACACAGGAACAGAAAACCAAACACCGCATGTTCTCATTTATAAGTAGGAGCTGAACGATGAGAACACATGGACATGGGGGATGACGGGGAGAGCATCAGGAAAAATAGCTAATGTGTGCTGGGCGTAATATCTAGGTGATGGCTTAATCTGTGCAGCAAACCACTATGACGCATGTCTACCTATGTAACCAACCTGTACACCCTGCACATGTACCCTGGAAGTTGAAGGGGAAAAAAAGAGAGCAAAAGATTGAATAGGCATTTCATAAAAAATAGGCATTTCATAAAAAACTAAAGGCATAGGAAAAGGACCTCAGAATCATTAGTCATCAGGGAAATAGAAATTAAAGCCACGATAAGATACTGCTAAAATTCTTACCAAAATGACAGATTAAAAAGCCTGAAAATACCAAGTGTTTAGGAGATGTACAGAAACTGGAACTCTTATACATTGGTGGTGGAAATTTTAAATGGTCCATTTTGGAAAACAATTTGGCAGTTTCTTATAAAGACGTAAATGAGAGCTTTCTTTATAATAACACAAAACTGGAAAAAACACAAATGTCTGGAAAAACACAAATGTTTTTATCCCCCCCTTTCAGGGATAAAACCAAAAAGGAATGATCTAGAAATACACACAAAGACACAGATGACTTTTAAAAACATTCTGAGCAAAAGAAGGCAGACACACAAAAAAATACGTTCTATGATTCTATTTACATGGAATTTTAGAACTGGCAAAACTTATCTACAGACGTAGTTCTCAACTGGGGAAATTATGCCCTCCCCTTCCCTGGGTAATGCTGGAGACATTTTTGGTTGTCATAACTGGGGTGGCATAGGTATGGGGGTGGTTGCTACAGGGATCTGGTGGGTAGAGGTCAGGGATGCTGTTAAACATTCTATAATACACAGGCCAGCAGCCATGGCAAAGCATTACCAGGCCCAAAATGTTGAGAGTGCCCAGGCCCAGGTTGAGAAATTCTGTTCTAAGTGATCAGTGGTGGTTTAGATGGAAGTAAGGATATTGAATGAAGGAATTCTGGGGATAATAAAAATGCTCTACATTTTATTTTTATTTATTTATTTATTTATTTATTTTTGAGATGGAGTCTCGCTCTGTTGCCCAGGCTGGAGTGCAGCGGCAAGATCTCGGCTTACTGCAACCTCCGCTGCCTGGGTTCAAGCAATTCTCCTGCCTCAGCCTCCCATGTAGCTGGGATTACAGGTGCCCACCACCACGCCTGGCTAATTTTAGTAATTTTAGTAGAGAAGGTATTTCACCATGTTGGCCAGGCTGGCCTCGAACTCCTGACCTTGTGATCTGCCTGCCTAGGCCTCCCAAAGGGTTGGGATTACAGGCGTGAGCCACCACACCCTGCTGATGTTCTGTATTTTAATTGTGGTAGTGACTGACTTGTCAAAACTCACCAAATTGCATACACTTAAAAAGTGTAAATTTTACTGTATGCAAATTTTACATCCAAGTTGATGCTAAAAACTATAATGCCTGTATAAAACTATGTTAAACAGTTTAATCCATTTTTTGTTTTTTAAAATACATGCACAGAAAAGACTGGTAAGGCAACTACCATTAAAGACAGGAAAAACCAATACCATTTGTGGGATTATGGATAATTTTGAATTTTTTGCCCTGTTGTTCATTTGCTTAGTATTAACTAAAAATTTAATAACCTTTATGTGTACACACACACAGAGAGACAGACACACACACATATATATCCAGTACCTAAAACAGGTACAGATAAATGAGGATCTTAGAAAAGCACAGGTGCACATGAATATTTAATTGTGATATTTGATCATAAGACCCTAGTTGTTTCAAGAAACCATAAAAATGTGTAATGCAAAGGTACTTAGAAGTAAAGTTTTACTCTAAAACACTGCTAAACTGTTTACTGAGCTCAATTATAATTCTTTCAATACAAAAGTCTGCAAGGATGAATTTTCACTAGAAACAATGCTATGATAACCCTAATAAGACAGGGTGAAAAGGTCAAGAAATTCTTTAAAATTAAATGAATAAAGTTATCAAGTAAGGAATAATCCATTTCACCGTATTAATACGGTTGAAAACATAGCAGATACAATTCAGTTATGTTCATCAACAGGCCAGGGACTGAGCAAAGCGTGAGGAATTTACTATAAAAATGTCCGTGAAGAACTGACCAATGGAGAAAAATGGCATTGCCAACAAATCACACACAAACGGGCTAAAGGCTATGATGGAGGTTTGAAGGTGGTACAATGAAAGAAGTCAAGCAACTACTTGGAGGAAGCATTTACAAAGGTGACATCTTAGCTAGACCTTGTCTGGTGAAAAATCATGAGATAATTTAGAAATCTTAGAAATAACACAAAAACCAATAAATAAATAAATAAATAAAAATAAATAAAAACAAACACCACCACCACACATAACAATTTTGTTACACTGCTGTCTGATTTTTAGTCTTAAAGGTCAGCAATGAGAAAATCTTTTCCCGAAAAAGAAGATTATCCTACATATTGAGTAAGGAAATTATATCCCATATCCAAGGGGGAAATATATTTAAGATTCACCTTGATAGAAAATGCACTCCCTAAGCTTCCACCACGTCTACGTTTGGCAATTTAAGTCTCTGGCACTATTCAAAAGCATAGTGATTAAAAAAAAAATCAATTAGGCTGCAGTTTAAAAATACGATATGAACACTTGTTAATATAGAATTAATATACGGCCTCATACTAAAACATCACCATACATTAGTAAGTGAATATTTTAAGGTACCTCCCAAAAGGGAGACACTGGGAATCCTACATACAGTACAGTACATCTTTGACAATAAGTTTTCAAGCCATAAGAGATGCTTACAAATATGTGGGGTAAACGATTACTCTATGTTGCTAAAAATGATTCCAACCAGGTAAAAAGGTCAACTCCTATCTAATGCGGAGAGAAAAGCCTGCAAGGTGGTGGGATGGTGAGAAAGACTCCTGGCAGAACCTGTCTGCCTTGCTCCTTGGATTTCCTGTAATTTTGAACATTACTGAAATTAAAGCATTGAAACTGAATTACATCAACTTTATTTCAGCAGAACAAATTTCGTGCAGCAGAAAACCCAGTTTTGGCGGTGAAAAAGTCGTCCCAAAGACAAAGGGTCTTAAGTACATCTGACTTTTCGGAGACAGCAGCAATGCGTCCTATTCTTTCTCTCCTGGCTCAGACTCAAAGAACTACTGCAGGCAATTCAGGTAACACTATTTCCTGGTAGTGTGATTCAGGTAACTGGAGAAAAGGAAAAAATGCTTAAAGCAATAAACTAGTATAAAAGGGAACCTTCTGGAGTCCCGTAATAGCCAGTGAACTAGAAACTCTTGATATTTTATAGATATTGACACCAACAGGGGAGCCAGGAGCCAAGTGCAACACCAGCCAAGGGTTGAAGGCAGGAAGAGAGAACAGTCACTGCCTGATCCTTTGGCTTCCACCGCAAAAGAGCGCCCCCACCCCAATACTCTCGTTCCTTAAAATGCCCCTATCCTCGGGACCCACGCAGAAATACCCCACTCCCCTACAGTAACTCCTTACAATCCCAACAACCCTGCCGGAGTGTGACAGGCTGCGTCCACTTACTGAGCTGTCCCCCGCCCGACGTTGTACTCGGTTCCCGACCTCCAGCGCCCCCAACGCCGGCTGCTCCTGGGACCCCTGGCGCCCCCATCCCCGGCGGGGTTCCACTTTGCCTCTCGAAGTTGCCTGGATTGGAGAAGTAGTCGCGTAGCCGAGGCAACTCCCGGCCACTCTCTAACAGCTCGGTATGCAGCTCCAGGGCGGTCAGCAAGTATTGATCGCGCAACAGCTGAGCAGCGATCGCATCAATTGACAATCGGGCCGGGGTCTCCCCGGTGCCCCCCAGGGCCACTGCAGCCGCCGATGCCTCCCCAGGGAGCCCTGGCCGCGCACTGCTTCCTAAGGCCACGGGATCCTGTGGCGACAGCGAGCCCGCAGAGCCAGGATCTAGGCCACTTCCGGCACCCAGCCGAAGTACTGCCCGCCGTTCCTCTGTTGCCGCTACCTCATCATCGTCCTCATCCGAATCGCTGAGAAATGGATTCACGCCGCCACCACTGCCACTACCTCCAGGCGCCATCGCCGCCATCTTATCCTGTCAGGAGTGTGGGCGCCTCCCTGACTGGCTCCGACAGGCCGCAGCCCGAATCTTCTAGGCCTCAGGGGACACAGCGCACCTCCACAGCCCTGGCCTGACCACCTCCTGCCTCCGGACTTGAAGACAAGGAGTAGGCTCCAAGGCAGGAGATCCGGATGCAGCTGCACCTGATGCCTCAGCCTCTGCTGCACCAGCAGCCGGGCTCTGCAGGCGTCTTCCTGGTCTCCAGTATCGCGAGAACTGGAGCGTGCCCTGCCCCTCTCCCCAATCTAGCCCCGCCCCAGCCCCGCCCCAGCCCACTTCAGCTCCGCCCATCCCAGGCGCCAAATAGCAAAGATTGAAGGCCCCGCTCTCCGCTCAAAAGCAAAACTCCACCCACCATTCCTCCATGATTGGTCAGAGAAGGAAGGCGTGGAGAGTACTGACGGGTGACTGGCCCGAGAATTATCGTGAGAGCAGCAGCGGCCGGGCAGGTGTTGGGGGCGTTCCGGGATTGAGGGGTGGTTGTGGTGGTGGCTTAGGGATACCCTACTGGCTTTCGCTTCAGTGGGTAGAGGGGACCCCTGCCCGAGAGCTTTAATGGAGCTGGGTCCTGCCTTCGCGCTGAGGAGCCCTCGTTTTCGAGATCAGGCCTGACCGGGATAAGCTCCAGGTAAAGTTCAGGGACCAGGGCGCGGAGGGTGTCGGCGCCCAAACTGTGGTGTCGTGCCGGCGGACGCGCTGTTTCCCTAGTGCGCTGCACTTTTTCTCGCTATTTGCTGCCACTGGTGACATTTTGTCCCCACGGATAGCAAGTGCCCAGGCCTGTAGTCAGAATGTGACTTCCCTTCTTTTCCCTTCTCTGCCACATGCTTACACACTCGGGAGGCCTAGCGACAGCTCGACTTCTCCGCCCCGGAATTGGTCCTGCCGGTGGGTGGGGACGGGGGCTGGAGAGACTAAACGGAAAAGGGGACGCTGAGATTGGCATTTGCCTGGATCTGGGAACGTCCTCGAGTTGGAAAACAAATTGTTAGGTGCTCAATAAACCCTTAGGATTTAATACACGATTTACACGACAGGGACCCTTCAGAATATCAGATGCTTTCTCACCAGTAGACAGATAAGTAAACTTAAGCCAAGAGTAGTGGATATAAAATCAACTCCACGCCTGGCGCGGTGGCTCACGCCTGTAATCCCAGCACTTTGGGAGGCTCGAGCCGGGCGGATCACGAGGTCAGGAGTTCGAGACCAGCCTGACCAACATGGGGAAACCCCCGTCTCTACTAATAATACAAAAATTAGCTGGGCGTGGCGCGCACGCCTGTAATCCCAGCTACTCAGGAGGCTGAGGCAGGAGAATCGCTTGAACCCGGGAGGCGGAGATTGCGGTGAGCCGATGTCGCGCCACTGCACTCCAGCCTGGGCGACAGAGCGAGACTCCGTCTCAAAAAAAAAAAAAAAAAAAAAAAAAAAATCAATTCCACTAATAAGGAGTCAAAGGAATTAACATCATTTTTCTTATATCCCAAACGATTCGTTATCCACTGTCTCCTGCAACATTTGTGACTTGTTCATTCAGCTGGAATCAAGGTTTTGGAACTTAGAACTATTTTAAAAGTTGAATGCTTCAGAGAGTTTTGATTTTTTTAATGAAACGTTAGCATATAAAGTACATATCTTAAGTTGAGAAGATCAACTTTTATCTTTTATGTTATTCCTTGATTATGATCTGAAAAGGTAAAGGATTTTCCAGTCAATACAATTAGACTGCTATTTCTTATGGCTCCTATTTTTTTCGCACACAAACGACCACTTTCGCAGGTTTTAGATTTCCTTTCTTAGTGTACAGCTTCCAATAAATGCCGAAATGCATAGGCAGTAGTAATTAGTGCTATCAAGTAAGTGACATACTACATTCAGTGTGCAGTAAACATTCCACAGTAAAGTATCTCCCGTTACCTCCATGGAAAAATTAAAATAGAGGATTCTTGCATAACCTTAGGTCAGGTTATTGGTTTACATGTAAAAGTATGCCAACAGTTAAGAGTAGGCTTTAATTTCAATTTACCCAGTCTCAGTAAACTGAAATTTTCATTTGAATGGGAATTTGCATTTTTTAAGTTTTATTTTTGCTAGAAGTTTTTAAAAAAATAGTACCAAGAATTTAAAGTATTTTTATAGGACATTAGTTCCCAATGTTTTAATGATAAGTAGTTTTTTGTGCCATGTATTAAAAGTAAAACATGGGGGAAAAAATCCCCCCAAATGGAATCGAAATGGCAAATACTGTATCCTGTTAGAGATTTCTTAGCAAAAGGGATTGCTGATCCGTATTTTAGTTGGGTTTTCCAGAGAGATTAAAATGGAACCAATTTCTGGAATGCAGGAATGGAGGATTAGTGAATGGCATGCGAAGGGCATGATTAGAAATGGATTGTTTATGTACAATATTCCATCTCCCTGATTGGGAAATTGAGACATCTCCTGCATTTAAGATTCCTGAAGAGGATTATGCTTGTAAGATAGAAAAGCTTAAGTTCAGATCCCAATTCTACTCATTATTTATTGTGAGACCTTGAAAAAGTTACCTAACTTCTCAGCCTCACTTGCATTCATCTATCAAACGGGATAAGGAAAGTACACAGAATTGAGAATGTTCTTGTCCCAGTGCCTGGTACGTGCTACACAATAACTGTTACTGTGGTCACTTATTAATTAATGAAATATTAGTATATGTTGAGAACATTTGACAAGTTTTTAAAAATAAAACTAATATCAATTGTTTTGGCAGTGCATTGAAAAAGCAATTAAGTCAGTAGGGCTGAAGGGAGTATCTTTAATTTGGATTCTAAGTTCTAAAACACAAGTTGAAAATAGATTTAAAATGTTTCCTTAGAGACTTGTAAGAACTGCATGTACAGAAGTTCTTCCTATACAAATCTGTAGTTTTCTGCTTTTGTTTCTGCTTCCTGTCCTATAACCTTGAACTTGTGATCTTGTAAGCCCATAACAAATCAACTGCCCAGTCTTCCCAGTAGGTACTTTTCTTTTCCACAATACACAGAGGTTTGGTTATTCGTGAATAATATATAAGTAACACACACTGGAATATTAATAATTACCGATCACTACTTATAATAATTTATTATTAATAGTGTTGGGAAATTTCCTTTCTACTTAGTAAGATTTTCATTAATATAGGCCCTTACAACTAATGTTTCATCTGACTAATGATAGTTATTAAAGCTTGTGCCTTAGCAATGAAGATGTAAAAGATGGCTTTTTTCAAAGCACGTCAATCATTTTAGTATTTAAAAAATATTTTAGGCTTTAATAGTCTTAAAAGAACCACAAGTAATATTCTGAATAGAAGTTTTGGTTGACTTGAGGTTTTAGTAATAACTCATGTTTTATTGTTTCTCAGAGTGTGGTAAACATCCACAGATATAAACTAGATAACTTGTATTGGTACATGAATATATCTTTTAAAAATTTTAATAGTTATGTGTTTGTTTGGGAGGTATTTCTTTTTCAATAAATCTGAATAAATTGTAATTTTCTTTAAAGAGAAATATTAAGTAATACTGTGTAGTATTAAGCAATTAAACTAATTAAGATAAGTAGTTTGTGATCACTGATGTTTTGCAATCACTGCAATTTTATTTACATTAATAGTAAATAATTTATCATAAAAGGTTTAGTTTTTTTTTTTTTAAGTATTTTCAATCTTCACATCTTGTTCTGGAGGAACAAAAACAGAAGTAGGGCATCCTCTAGTGGCTATAGTGCATATTGCATTTACCCTTGAAATAGTCATTCTAAATAATTAATTCAGCAAACATTTGAGTCCTTACTAACTGCATAGGACTCTGATGGGTGTTGGAGATGCCCCATCCTGCTGTCATAGAATTGTGGTGAAGTGACAGAGCAGACATTAATTCAAATAGTCATAGACAGAGCTATGTAATTACAAACTGAAGTAAAAGTTTTCGTTTCTGACTTAACCTGCGTAGTCCCTGAGGAAGTGCTGCTTGAAATGGAATGTTAGGAGAGAGTGGAAGATAGGTTGCAAGTGCATTCTGCAGAGAGGAATTGAGCCTATGAAAGTCTTATAGCAGTGGGCTACTTGAGTAAAAGAAGGGGCCAGGGACGTGAGATGTTACAAAGTAAAGGGGAGTGCTATGAGACAGGGTTAGGAAAGAAGGCAGAGGCTAGTCTATGAAAGACCTTATTAGTCACATTAAGGATTTTAGTCTTGATTAGTATGTGAAAAGGCACTGGAGAGTTTTATGCAAGAGATAAGATGTTCAGATTTTCTTTTGAAAAAAGAAAAGCAAGTAATAGTCTGGCTACATGGCAAGAAGCGGATCAGAGAAGGGTCAGAGTGTATAGGGGTGACCTATTCCTGCATTGCAGTAGTTCGCATAAGATATGGTGTACATCTTAAATTACAGAGGTGTCAGTGGCGATGAAGACAAATGAACAGATTCAAGAAACACAAAGTGGACAATTGTTGGATTAAATAAAGGGGAAGAATAGGGTGTAAAGAATGATGCCTGTTTCTCAGACTTACATACTTGGTGGGAAAGTGGTGCCACCTCCTGAGATTGTGAACACTAAGGATTTAGTAGGTAGTAGACAAGGCTCATGGGAAATATTATGAATTTGGTTTTAAACCTACTCAGTTTGATTGTCTTTGAAATGTCCATGTAGATTTATAAAGGTTGGAGTTACGTATGTGGATTTGGAGCTATAATTTGTTGAGACTTTTGCATAAGTGATAACTGAAGCCACGGATATGATGAAACATGCCAGGATAAAAAGTATAGAGTGAGAAGAAAAGATAGCTGAGGACGAAGTTTTGAGTAACTCCAAAATTCAATGACCAGATAGAGACTGTTCAACATTGGCCAGAGGTGTAGGTGAAAAATGAAAGCAGTAATGTTCCCAGAAGCCAAGTGATAAGAGCCTATTAAAAAGGAGAAGGCAGCCAGGCATGGTGGCTCACGCCTGTAATCCCACCACTTTGGGAGGATGAGGCGGGTGGATCACCCGAGGTCAGGAGTTTGAGACCAGCCTGGCCAACATGGTGAAACCCCATCTCTACTAAAAATACAAAATTAATTGGGCATGGTGGTACCTGCCTGTAATCCCAGCTACTTGGGAGGCTGAGGCAGGAGAATTGCTTGAACCCGGGAGGTGGAGGTTGTAGTGAGCCGAGATCGTGCCACTGCACTCCAGCTTGCGCGATAGATAAGGCGAGACTCCATCTAAAAAGAAATAAAAATAAAAAGGAGACAGCTACTGGGCCCGGCAACTCACACTTGTAATCCCAGCACTTTAGGAGGCTGAGGTGAGTAGATGACTTGAGCCCAGGAGTTCAAGACCAGCCTGGGCAACATGGCAAGACCCCCTCTCTACAAAAAATGCAAAAATTAGCTGAATGTGGTGAACATGCACCTGTGGTCCTAGCTACTTGGGAAGCTGAGGTGGGAGGATCACTTGAGCCCAGGAAGCTTAGGTTGCTTAGAAAATGAAGACTAAAAAATAGCTATTAGATTTTATACTGTTAACTGTCTTTACTTTCTTATGAAGTAATGAAAATAAGGTTTAAGTTGTTTGAAATTTAGGTGGTCAGGAAATAAAAGAGGTCACATTCAGTCTTTTCAAGAAGTTTGACTGTGTGGGGGAGAAAAGGGCAATAGATGTTTAACTTTTTTTTTTTTTTATTAACACTGATATTTATGAGATGTATCCTTTTCAGAAATATAGTATTTCATTATTTCAATATAGTATTTCAAAATAAACAATTTATCTGTTCCCTATGGTTAGATATTGTTTCCAATTTTTTATTATTACAAATAGCAAAAGCCAAGATTTGAATGTAAAGGTTTTTAAAACCTGTTTCTTTCTGATGTGTAATTTTATCTTAGTAAATTCTACACTAGTAGCAGTACTAACACTTGTGAGCTGGTTAAAAACATAAGCTGATGTCTACCTCACACCATATACAAATAATTATTTTTGTCTCAGAGGACACAAACCGACACAAATAAATTTTAAATAATGAAAGGTAAAAAGCAAAAATCTAAAACTATTAAAAGAATATATGTGACATAAGAACCAGGGAAGTTTTCTTCTATAGTACAAGACACAAAAGACTTACACCAGATAGGATAAATATTCGATGAATTTTACTGTATTAAAGTTGAAAATTTCATTTTAACAAAAGGCCCTATGAACAGAATTTATATATAAATGTGTGTATCTAGCTATGTATAAACATACATACACTATATAAACATACACACACATATAATTTTAATGTACAAGTCAAAGAAAAGGTCAATAACCCTAACCCTATCTGATCAAAGTATGTAAATAGGCAATTGAAAGGAAGAGAGACCCAATTCTAGTAAAAACATGAAAAGAAGTTCATACTCACTAGTAATCAGGCAAATACATAGTCAAATAACAGGATGCCAATTTGGCCTGTTCAAATTGTCTTAAGGTAAATATGACAGTATCAAACTATTCTGGGGATTTAGAGATATAGAAGCTTTCGTACATTGCTGGAGGGTATCTAAATTAGTATGGACACTTTGCCAGTCACTTGTAATGTTGAAAATTTTGTTTATTAGAGCAATTCCACTTATAGAGGTGGCTTTCAATCTTATTTGTCCATAGAATAATTTGAAATAAAACTTTCAGTACAGATTATATACATTTAAGAATATAGATGTTTGGATACACAGGAAAAAACCACAATTTTTCAAAATCATGTACTACTTCTGAAGTACTTCATGATGTGATATATTCTCTATTTTATCCTATTCTATTGTACCGTATTCTATTTCATTAAAAAAAAAAAAAAAAGGAAAGAAGGCTAAGTGCAGTCCATTAAATTATTTTGTTATGGATTACTGCTCTACAGTTTGTAAACATTCTAAAAATCTCCAACTTTACCATAAGGGAGCAGCTTAATTGCCATATTATTTGTAATCATGACAATTGCGAGCAATGTTGATCAGCAGGATAATGTTCAAATAAATTGTAATAGAGTCATATAATAGAATATATGTCTTGAATGAGATCATTTATAAGGCTTTTTTTTGGTAGTACCAATTAGAATAAGCTTATAAAAGAAATAATGGCTTTGCGTCTATACTGGTAAAAATTAATTTTGAGTAAGGTGGGGAAAGCAGGAGTGGAAATGGTGATGATTATAATATTTTTTTTTGACATTTTGCAAAATGCAGCAAACATTTTAATTTATACATGAGAAAAGGAAGTGTTCAAAAGGGTATGCATTTCAAGTTATTGCAGGTTATTTGTGAGAGAATTTCTGCAGGTAAAACATGTTTAAATTTAACCAACAGTAGCGTGTCAGTGTATTTAAAATCATGACAAAAATATTCTCTCTGGTCATGTTGCCCATGACAAATTACTATGATGTTGTATGTTTAGGGCAAGATGTCAATACAGCATAAATCCCATGGTATTTTGGTTTTCTTCTGGAGATTAAAGCTGTTTTTCTTGGGATAAATGCAGCAGCAAAACACAAACCAGTTGATCAAAAAAGCACTTCTGCCATAACTCCAATAATTTTCAGGACACATCAATGGACAGTAGTTTTGCCATTCCCAGTTCTTTTAAGGATTACATCTCTGCACTGTTGCCTTAAGGATGTCTGTAAAAGCTTGTTCTCTGTTAAGCCAGTTTACTGACTACAGCCTGGTTGAGAGAATTTAGTTGGTTGCTCCATTTATCTAGTGCAGTATATCGTGCACCACCCCTCTTCTGATGATCCAGTTCAAGGAGTTGGTTGACTTGATCAATTCGGCCATGAATAGTGTTATCCAATATGCACTGCACCAGCAAGCTCTCCACATCAGCTACATCTATGTTTAACTCCTTAGAAATAAAAGGAATATGTATTCTTGTGTAAGGCTTAATTAATTTTATAAGCACTTGTGTTCTGATGTTTCGCAAAAGCTCTTCGATGTGTTCTCTTATGAAAGGATCATCCATGATGTTGCTGTGATTTGTTTTTAGAATCTTTTCAAATTCAGTGATGTCATTATTCTGATAGGCACTTACTAAATTCGTCATTGCTAAAATTTCTGGATCATTTTTGTACGGCTTGGCCTCCTGTGAGTCAAATGGATTTACTCCCGATTTCATAAGCATATTTGCTAAGACCAAATATTTTAAGCAAGTGGTTCGTCTTGGACTTCCAGATTCATCATAATTCTTGAAGGCTTCAAAAAAATCAGTGTGTGCCTTTTCAAATTCACCTTCTCTCAAGTGCATTTTACCACCACATTCTCTGATAACTCCCATAATCAGTGGATGAGGGATGGCAGACTTGATGTGAAGTGACTGTTCATAGAGTGCTTTAAGTTTTTTGTTATTTTTCTGTGCTGTGTACATTTGAATTTCCAAAGCATATATTTCTAATAACTGTGTACCTTTTTTCAGATCATCTTCTCCATCATCAGTCTGGCAGGACTGATGTAACTGGCGTAAAATTTTTTGAAGCTTTCCATATTCCTCTCGTTCTAAATATAATTTTCCAAGCTTTGTGTTTGTCTTAAACCACAGTCTATCATTCTTAGCATCTTTCAAAGCTTCCAGTGTTGTTTCATAGAATTCCTGCAGTAAATCCATCTGTTTAGAAGTAGAGATATAATCGAGAATAGAATTAATGGATTTTTCAGAATAATTTCTTGTGACTGCACTCCGAATATAGGTCAATAGCTGTTTATATCTATTCATCATTTCTGGAAAGTTTGTCAACTTGAAGTTAATCTTAATCATTTGTTTCAGTGCTTTAAATCCCCATTCTCCTTTTTCACCTTCAAGTTCCAAAACCTTTTGGAAACTGCTTAACGCTGCTTTTGAGTCATCTTCTTTTAATGCTTTGGAATTATAGTACTGATTTTCCAAATCCACATTTGGCTCGGAGTTACTATCTTCAGAGTATTCCAGGTCGTAGTCCTCCTCATCATCGCACGTGAAATCATCCTCCATGTCAGACATCTTGGCCGGGAGGGGGAGGAGAAATTGGAGACAACCTCCTCCCACAATCCTCCGCGGCTCCTGATTATAATATTAGTGTAATCTTGCAGAATGACAGATGGCTTTTATTTATGTATTTATTTATTTATTTTGAGACAAGGTCTCACTTTGTCACTCAGGCTGGAGTGCAGTGGCGCGATCTCGGCTCACCAGCAACCTTGATCTTCGGAGTTCAAGCAATCCTCCTGCCTCAGCCCCACAAGTAGCTGGGACCGTGCGCCACCATGCCCGACTAATTTTTGTGCATTTTTTGTAGAGATGGAGTTTCACCACGTTGCCCAGGCTGTTCTCAAATTCCTGAGCTCAAGTGATCCACCTGCCTCGGCCTCATAAAATGCTAGGATTACAGGTGTGAGCCATCAGGCCTGGCTGATGGCTTTTAATTACATAATTGACTAGGTTTAACATATATACTCTTCATATAGAAAAAACATCAATTTATGTAGATGCCTCGTGTTCTCAGGAGGTGGAGTGTAACTCCTCACTCTTTAAGTGTTGGCTGCATGTAGTGACTTCCTACCAAAAAGTATAGTTTGAAATGGGGGAACATTTACATGGAGAAACTTTACAGTGGAGAAACTGAACAAACTGCCTCAGCCAAGTGGTCAAGTTTTATATTAACAGTTTAGTAAGTCATGTTGACAGTACCCTTAATATGATGTAAAGAAATGGTACTTTATGTATGTATGTTTGCTCTCCCAAACCCATAACCCCAGACTTACCATGAGGAAAACATCAGATAAATCCCAATAGCAAGACATTATACAAAATCTCTGACCAGTACTCCTCACAACTCACAAGGTCATCAAAACAAGCAAAGTCTGAGAAATTATCACAGCCAAGAGAAGCCTAAGGAGACATGGTGACTGGCTGCCCTATGGTATCCTGGTAGTTTCTGGAATAGAAAAAGGATATGAGATATAGATAAAAGATTTTGAACTCAAGTGGGCATGAATTATCTAAAGAACTAATAATCTCTATTCTACTTGCCATGAGAAAATTTGAAAATTAGTTCTTATATGGGATTTTGTAAACTCACATAGAATTTACAATTTAAAATGACATAAATCATGATGAAAAAATATATACCCCAGAATAATAAGCAAATGAACTAGTGCTAATTATATGGCTTAATAGTTTATCTGATAATCTTGTGTGCAGGCTCCAAGTGCTATCTTACTTCTACTACTACTACTACTACTACTACTACTACTACTACTACTACTACTTCTTCTTCTTCTTCTTCTTCTTCTTCTTCTTCTTCTTCTTCTTCTTCTTCTTCTTCTTCTTCTTCTTCTTCTTCTTCTTCTTCCTTCTTCCTTCTTTCTTCTTTCTTCTTCCTTCTTCTTTCTTCATCTTTCTTCTTTTTTTTGTGGGTCTTGCTATGTTCCCAGGCTAGCCTTGAATTCCTAGGCTCGAGCAATCCTCCCGCCTCGCCCTCCTAAGTAGCTGGGACTACCAGCTCTGTCTTACAGTTTTGGCTGGTTTTACTTCACATCGCAGGTTTGTGTATTTTTAGTAAATGCTGAAGTGGTTAAGAACACAATCTCTAGGTGACATTACAGAAAATGGCAGAGTATGGTGGTTTATTTTAAGGGTTAGTTCCTCCACTGAAACAAGCATAAGAGGGCAGAGTGACAGGATCAGCTCTTTTGGCATTCTAAAATCTGGTCTGACATTTACAGCAACTAGGAGACTGAATAATGAAGAAGAGGGCAGCTGAATTTCAGAGTGCTGTGGCATTTAATCCACTGGATCACCATCCTCTTTCACCACTGTGGCAATGGCAGCAGCTGTGGAGACTATGGCCCACATTCCTGGTGTGACTTGCTTGTATTTAGTATGGACTTTGTTCTTAAAATACTGTGGTTGTGCATTTTGACCTGTCTAGTGGTTTCCTGAGTGATCAATGTAGAGGCTGAATTTTGTCCCATCCTTATCCCCCGCAAAAATTACATGTAATGCATGCCCAGAAAGATCCTGAGAGGTCCCTAGGCTTCTACCTTTGGGAGATCTGTGAGCGCTAGACAAGCAGAAGGTGAAGGTTAAGGCAGAAGTGTAGGTGGCCAAGCTTAGTGTGAGAGTAGTTCAGCTGAGAGCTAGACTATAAAAACTTGGGAGAGTACTATTAGTTTTTGTTTTAGGCATTTAAGGAAATCTAAATCTGCCATTGACTGATCAGTAAGATAACAAAACAGAGACTTTAATGACCATAAACAAAAGGAATAAAGTATTTGCAAAAATAGTTTGGAAAAGTTACTAAATGAAAGGCTGAACCCCTCAAAAATCAAAAGAAAATGCCAGAATTCTGGAATCTGATTTCTAGAATTACTACATTATAATATTCAAAATATAAATTTCAATGGAAAGTTACAAAAAAGCATACAAAGTCTCAGGAAAGGATGGCATATTCACAGAAAAAAATAAATAAATTGATGGAAGCCACCCTTGAGGAAGTCCTGACATTGGACTTAGACAAAGACGTTAATCATCTGTCTTAAATATGTCAAAATGCTGTGGGAAACCACAGACAAAGAACTAAAGGAAGTCAGGAAAGTGATGTATGAACAAGGTAAGAGCATCAAAAGAGATAGAAATTATTAAAATGAACCAAATAGAAATACTGGAGCTTAACAGTACAATAATTGAAACAAACCATTCACAAGAGGGATTCAGCAGCAAATTTGAACAGGTGGAAGAAAGAATCAGTGAACTTGAAGTTGGGGCAATTGCAATTATAGAAGCAGAAAAAAAGGAATGAAGAAAAGTGAACAAAGCCATAAGGACCTATGGGACACCATCTTTAATTCATAAGCCTTTTAGTAGGGTTTATGCCAATGTGAACATTAAATCACTGATAGTCTATAAGTTTAGCAAGTAATGTTTGACAGGAACAAAGATTATCTGCAATCAGAGCTATCCATAAAACTTTTGGTGGTTTATAATTATAACAGTGTATCTTTTGAGTAAGATTCAGGCTCCGATTTTTTTTTTTTTTTTTTTTTTTTACTTTTTATTTAAAAATAATTTTTAGATCTGTTGAAAAGTTGCAAAAACAGTACAGAGTTCCAGTACACTCTTTACTCAACTTCACCTAATGTGAACATCTTACATAAACATCGTATAATTATCAAAACCAGTATACTAGTATTTGTATAATACTGTTTACTACAGATCTTGCTTGAACTTAACTAGTTTTTCCGCTATTGTCTATTTTCTCATCCAGTTTCCCTTGTTGTGTTTAGGTAAGTCTCTTGAACCTCCTTAATTCTTTTACAGAGTACTTGTGCATTATTTTGTAGACTGTCTCAATTTGGGTCTGTCTGATGTATTACCATTATTAGATTGAGATTATGCATTTTTAACAAGAATACCATATGTTCTTTTGCCGAGACTACCATGTTTTGCCTTTCTCAGTGCATCTGGTCAGGGTTACATGAGGTTAGTATGTTAGTATGTCTTACTATTGGTTATGTTAACCATGACCACTTGGTTAAATGGTGTCTATTTTCTCCATTGTTAGTATTTTTCCCTGTACAAGGAGTAAATATTTGGAGAAAGTTCTTTAACACTGCAAATATTGGCTGGGCGTGGTGGCTTATGCCTGTAATCCCAGCACTCTTGGAGGCGGAGGCAGCCGGATCACCAGGTCAGGAGATCAAGACCATCCTGGCTAACACAGTGAAACCCCGTCTCTACTAAAAAATACAAAAAATTAGCCGGACGTAGTGGCGGGCGCCTGTAGTCCCAGCTACTCCGGAGGCTGAGGCAGGAGAATGGTGTGAACCTGGGAGGCAGAGCTTGCAGTGAGCCGAGATCGCGGCACTGCACTCCAGCCTGCGCAACAAAGCGAGACTCTGTCTCAAAAAAAAAAAAAAAAAAAAAAAGACTTCAAATATCCTGTTTCCCTGACACTTTGATCTGTTGATTTTAGCATTTATCAGTGGATCTTGGTGGCAGTAATTACTGTGGTGTTTGCCTAGTTGTAATTTTATATCTCCCTCATTCCTGCTACCTGAATTAATTGAAATTATTCTGTAAAAAAGAGATACCGGATTCTAAACTCATTAATATTTCATCGTATTCTGGTAGGGATAAGGATAATAAGTCATTACTTGATAAAGCAATTCTCTCTAACATAATGTTAAAGAAAAATATCAATTATATTCTCACTTGATTTTCCTTCCTGGAATTTTAGATACTCTTTTATAGCCTAGTTATGTATCTCTTTAAATAAGTTATTTAAAAATAAAAATTGCCTGAAACTTCTTGTTGACTTCTTACCTTTTCTTTATCTGAAATTTGAGACAATAGAGCCTGTACTTCCTAATTGGAAAGATTAATTAGCTAATAATAGTTCCTAAGATACCTAGGGGGATTTTTTTTTGTTTGTTTGTTTTGTTTTTTGAGACGGAGTCTGGCTCTATAGTCCAGGCTGGAGTGCGGTGGTGCGATCTCGGCTCACTGCAAACTCCACCTCCCAGGTTCACGCCATTCTCATGCCTCAGCCTCCTGAGTAGATGAGACTACAGGCACCCGCCACTGCACCCAGCTAATATATATATATATTTTTTTGAGATGGAGTCTGGCTCTATTGCCCAGGCTGGAGTGCAGTGGCCGGATCTCAGCTCACTGCAAGCTCCGCCTCCAGGGTTTACGCCATTCTCCTGCCTCAGCCTCCGGAGTAGCTGGGACTACAGGCGCCTGCCACCTCGCCCGGCCAGTTTTTTGTATTTTTTTAGTAGAGACGGGGTTTCACCGTGTTAGCCAGGATGGTCTCGATCTCCTGACCTCGTGATCCGCCCGTCTTGGCCTCCCAAAGTGCTGGGATTACAGGCTGTGAGCCACCGCGCCCGGCCCCTAGGGGGAATTTTACAAGCTTTCAAGGACTTTTTATTAGCTCTCTCTTCCTGCCGTCTTCCCCAAAGTAGGTAAAATTTCTCTTTGACTTGATGCTGCATTACCTATACTTTTAGTGAACTGGGGGAAAATAAATAAATAAA